TCTGAGGAAAGAAATGCAAGATCGTGAAAATATGCACAAGGCAAGTGGCTTACAATAACTTCATCCAAAAGCTCATACACCAGCACAAAATTTTTACGCAACGAATCTTCATTTAGAACACCGAGGTAATCTTTGATTACACGTCCAATTCTCTGAAGAAGCTCCAATACAAGAGAAGGCGACAAATTTGTCCTAGATGTCGCGACGAAAAGCAGACCAACTACCTTCACATGGAAGTAGTTCACACCATCCACATTCTGCAAGAAAAAAAAAAGAACAATATTAGCACCTCTTTCCATAGTTGCAGTTTGCGAAACTGAATGCTTCATGCAGAAGGAATACGCATAATAAACAAAACAATGGTCGTTGACAGCTCCCCTTTAACCAATTATCTGTCAGTTGAAATCTTTTCAAGCTGGCATATGTGGGAAGCCTTGAATTGATGAACTCCATACTCGCCCATAAAAAATCCTCTTGACAAATCAACAAATCCAATAGAAACTGCATTTAATGAATGAGGAAGAATAATTTGGATTTTAATATGAGAAGACGTTTGAGAACTCAGAGATTTCAGACCTATCAGTCTCATTGGAAGTATCTACAAAATTGTTGCCAAAACTCTAGCTGAGAGACTGAAGATAGTAATTTGGAAGTTGGTTTCTGGAGAGCAAAGCGCATTCCTGAAGAATAGGCAGATCACAGATGCCTCACTTGTAGCCAATGAAATGCTGGATGATAGATTGAAAAGAGGAATCCCCGGAATTCTCTGCAAGCTAGATGTTGAGAAGGCTTTTGATAAAGTCAACTGGTCCTACCTATTTGCAATGTTGAAAGCCATGGGGTTTGGGATCAGATGGATCAGATGGATAAAATACAGCCTTACTTCAGTCAAGTACTCAATACTAGTGAATAGATCTCCAGTGGGCTTTTTCTCCCCTCAGGAAGGAATAAGGCAAGGTGACCCTCTGTCACCATTCTTATTCATCCTAGCCATGGAGGGCTTAAGTAAAATGCTAGATAAGGCAAAACAAATGTAGTAGATTGAGGGGTTCAGGGTGGGAAACAACATAGATACCTCAGTCACAGTCACTCACTTACTCTATGCAGATGATACCTTAATATTTTGTGGAGCAGAGAGATCTCAATTGCAATTCTTAAACTTGACTCTACTTCTGTTTGAAGCAATCTCAGGGCTGCACATCAATATGTTGAAGAGCATGATCTACCCAATGAATGAGGTTCCTAACTTGGAGGAGCTGGCTAACTTAATGGGTTGCAATATAGGCTCCCTTCCCACAACTTACTTAGGCCTCCCGCTAGGAGCAAAATACAAGGCAACGGAGATATGGAATGGAGTAATAGAGAGAGTGGAGAAAAAATTGGCAACATGGAAAATGCAATATCTGTCTATGGGTGGTAGACTAACTTTAATCAGCAGTGTTATAGACAGTATCCCCACCTACATTATGTCCCTCTTCCCTATGCTAAATAAGGTGCAGAAACAACTGGACAAAATTAGGAGATCATTCCTATGGGAAGGAAACAGTGAAGGTCATAAATTCCATTTAGTGAAATGGCCAAAAGTGATCATGCCAAAAAACCAAGGTGGTCTGGGAATCAGAGACTTGACCAAGCACAACAAGAGTGTGCTCATGAAATGGTGGTGGAGGTATGCTCAAGAATCAACATGCATATGGAAGAAGGTAGTTAATGCTAAAAATGGGGTACAAGACAGGTGGTGCACCAAGCAAAATAGAGCTCCACATGGAGTTGGCCCATGGAAGCACATCAACAACCTGCAAGAAGCATTCTTTCAAGAAGTATCCTATAAGTTTGGGAATGGCAACAGCATTAAATTCTGGAAGGATAGATGGCTCAACAATCAACGCCTGAAAGATTCTCATCCAGGCCTCTACCAGATTGCCTCTGACCCTAACTCTTCTATAGCACAAAATAGAGAAGGGAACACATGGGATCTCCACTTCAGAAGAAATATGCAGGATTGGGAGCTAAATCAGCTATTAGACCTATACAGTTGAAGATGCTAGAGGGAATCCTCAAGTCTCAGACAGCTTACGGTGGGGCAACTCTGGAAAAGGAATCTACACTCGAATGATATGATCGAATCTTGGCCATGAAAGCTAATATGGAAGACAAAGCTGCCAACAAAAGTAAAGTGTTTCTCCTGGACAGTCCTCTATGAAGCTATTCTGACCCAGGATAACCTTTGCAGAAGGAATTTTCAGCTGGCAAATAGGTGCCACATGTGCAGGCTAAACTCTGAGTCGGTTAACCACCTGCTACTCCACTGCACAGTGGCATCAGATCTTTGGAACATGTTCCTTGCACTCTTTGGTATCAGCTGGACAATTCCACACACCATAAGGGAAGCAGTACTTAGTTGGAGCCTATGGAAAGTTGATAGATCCATCAAGAAGATCTGGCAAATGATCCCGGCATGTATTTTTTGGTGTTCATGGACAGAGAGGAATCGAAGATGTTTTGATGGCATTTCAACTCCAACGGTCAACTGAAGTCTAAATGTTTAATGAGTCTTTTTAGTTGGAGTAACCTTTCCCTGTAAATGATATTATTCCCCTCTTAGACTTCATTAGTTCTCTCTCAATGGTTTAGTTAACCATTGCTTTTGCTCTTGGTTAACTCAAGGTTCTAGAATTTTTTTTTTCCATATGGAGTTAACCAAGTTTTATTTTGTAACCTTTTGCATCTTCTTGATGCCTTTTAATACAATACATTACTTCATCAAAAAAAAAAAAAAAATTGAGGAGACGTTTGAAACCTCCTACTATAAGGAAACTGATCTGCTTAGGGCCATATACGGATAATAGAATTTTGTCAGTGCGATGAGTCAGGGAAAGCCTAACGGGCTAGACTGTGGCGTTTAGAATGGTTTACTGAGGACCTTCATTCACTCGTTTTACTACTTCCGAACTGCTCAACGGACACTTGGAGTCGAACGTTTTTCTATAATATTAATATATTATATAGGTAGACTGATCAATGAAGTTGAATGTCTCTAGTTGTTTAAAAATTCTGCTCCTCTTAAACCAATCCTAAGAGGGAATTCTTCTATTAATTAAAATGAAGTGAGATGGATAATGTGCTACCACACTGATAATCGGAAATTCTTTCAGATATAAATGACAGAAAAGAGAAGTGGTGATAAGTCATTGCTTTACAATTTTTTTTATAACTCTTTTCAACAAAAGATACGGAAATTTCATCTATTACAAAAGAAAAGAATACCTACAAATACAGGAGGTGCTTCCTCTCCACCGTCTTCTTTCCAAAACTTTACTTTCCTGAAGAAGATCTCTGCACTTCCTTTTGGTACATCACCCCGATCTGCTTTCATGTAAATGTAAAGGGAAACTCATCAGATTCAGCCTCATTTATATTGCAGAGAAACATAAATAAGAAAATAAGGGCAGTGATTCCAAAAGATAAGGGCGGATGATCCGCGTGAATCATTAATCTCAATAAAAATGAAAATAAGGAAAGAGCGTGAATCATTAATCTCAATAAAAATGAAAATAAGGAAAGAACTACCACGAGAGCTCCAATCGCTATGTGCAGTTAACTTAGTTACATAAACCATTTCCCTGTCCTCAGTGCCCTTACTTTCTTTTGGAAAAGAAGGTAGCTGGAATTCACTATTTCATAGTTTTTCCAACGAACACATCACAAGCACTAAAACCGTGCTCAANCTTAAACATGAAACCTGACATCTTAAGCTCAAAGTAAGGGGAAGAGATTAGCCAGACTTTATTTGCAAAATATCTCATAATTTGACAAAAATAACTCAACTTGGTTAAGCTCGGTTTCATTTGACCTACTCCTTAACAAACTGCCAAATTCACCACTATATAGCACTTCGTGAGCCTAAAGTCACAATCATCCAGTCAATCCATTGCACACTAAGCCCTATAGCGAGAAAAATGTAACGAAATTGTAACAGTCCAGAACTCTATAAACCAAAAGAACAGCTAGTATTCCATAGAAATTTACCAAAAATTTAAAATAAAAATAAAAAAAAGTCAGAGCGACCAACTAGTTTAAGCTCGTTAGTTCTATACTCCAGATCAGCAAACTGAAACTTGATTCAAGTGCTCATTAAGTAAAAATAATTGCAGTTTCAATCCTTAGCTACGAATTGAGAATCGATGAAGCGAAAACCACAATGTAATTCTTTATAGTTTATACCAGAATGAGATCTGAAATAATTATGCAATACACATTGTTAATCGCAGAGATAAGGAAAAAACTCACAGTCACGGAAGACGATGCTATCGCCTCTCTGAGAAAGCACGAAGAACTGAGAAATCATGATTGTTTTGAGCGAGCTCTGTGAGTTTGCTATTTCCTTCGTTTTGATCTGATACTTGTGTTCTTGCCTGGAATTACCAACCCGGTCCACACACACGACGTCGTTTTTCGCTTTGCTGTAGTAAACCAATCCCCATGCTTTTGTCGTTGCCTTTTTCCATTTTCCTTCCCTTTCTTTTTCCTTTTTCTAATTGTTTGAATTATTTATCTTGGTCACCATTTATTGCTTGTGGATTTTTTTATTAGCAAGTGTCTCTTAATTAGAGCTTACTTCATTTTTTTATTTACATATTACTGTTATATGTCAATAGGAATTAGGAAAAAATGGAGTGTAATTATAATGTTAACACGTAATAAAAAATAATGAGCGTGTAATTCTAAATGGAATGTTAATCGTGTGATCAATGAAAAGGATCAAAATTTTCTTTTGGTTTACCCTAGAAGTCAAAATATAACATAAAAATAAAGAAAGTCCAATAAACCTTGTAAATACAATGCACATTAGATTAAAAAAAGAGACACATATACACCTATAAATAGCCAAGTTAGCCATTCACAATATGTTATACATTGTGAACTCTAAGGTCAAACCTTCAACAAGCCCATTTTTCATCAAAACAAAGTCAAGCCCGTTTACAAGCAGATAGATCAAGTTAACCAAAACAAGCCCATTTATTATCGCCCAATCTACGGCCCAAATTCAGAGAACTTCCCAAGCCCAAAGCCCTATTTTCCACAACGGCCTTTAAAGCCCGTTTAAGTTGTCCAATGTCTTTTTCTCCTCCACCAACCTTGCACAACACCACCACCATCTCCGCCTTAGTCCGGCCTCCGACCGTCGCCATCTCCGCCTTGATCATCCGCCCTTGAACTAATCGTACCGCCGTTGATAAGTCTCGGTTCAACCCCGGTCTGTCCTCACAACAAACCGTAGCTTTGACCGTTCGTTCATCACTGTCACTTTCTTCGTGGTAATTTAGTAATACTTCATCATTTTCACCGGGTAAAAAGAAAGATGACAACCCATTGTAGTTTCCTTCACTATCTTTTTGGGTTTCCATTTGTTGGGCTACCTTCTTCCTTAGTTCCTTAAGTTGAGTGACTGCTTCAGTTAGCACTCTTGACTTGTCCTTCTGCATTGACACGTACAAATTTGAATTATATACAGTAATATTTTAAGTGTAGCTTAATACATAATAGCAAATTAGTAATATCATTTCTATCAAATCTTATATGAAAACACCTATTACAGGTTCGAAAGCCTTGCAATACATAATAATAAAATGTTTGTCATGTTAAAACTTATTTAAGTACTATATCACTTAATGATAAGAAAATATATACTAATAATATTAATGTTAACAAATTAAATTAATTAATTCAATTGTGTCCCAAATCAGTGAAAGTAATTCTTATTTTCTACACATTTCTAAATTGGACGAAAGAAAAAAATAAAATGACCCAACGTCCATGTATTCTCAAAGATTTTGAAGGTACAAATGTGTGGTTTCGTATAAATTATATAGGCCAATCAATGCAGTTCCACTTATTATATATAGTTATCTTGTAATCTATCTGATTGTATAAATATTTCGCACACCATTTATTCGTGAAACTTAAACTCGGTGTATTTTTGCTTGTGTCATTAAAATATGCCTTTGGTCATGCAACTAGAACATAGATTTTGATATCCAAAATAGAAACACTTGAACCGAGGTAGAAGAAAAGGTATCACTGACACGGGTTCGGGAATGGCCGCACCCTAAAAGGTGTGATGTAGTTAACCTACCTTAATGCAAGCATTAGTGACTACTTCCACGCGCGGTTCGAATCCGTAAGCCATAGGTCATATGAAAACAACTTTATTGTTGCTCCGAGGCTTCCTCGCAGAAACACATAGTAGACATCTATAAAAGAATAAAAACAAAAAACAAAACAGAGACTTTTATATGCACAATAGTGATAGCAAGGGAAGAGAACATACTTTAGGGAGATGGGGAAAGAGTTTCTTGAGAGTATGAAGATGAGCATTTATTCTTTCTCTACGTTTACGTTCCGCCATGGCATGTGTTAAAGCTGCATCTTTTGATTTATTTTTCCTTGTTGATTTTCCATATTCATCAACCATATTGCAATTTCTCTGATGAAGAAGTTGCACAGAATTTGCACGCTGTAAAAATCCATTACAACCTTGTAATGAAGATAACATTTTCACTTTCCAACTTCCTAAAGAAAGAAGAAATAAAGAAGGTGGCAAATTAAAGGGAATTTAAAGAGGAGAGAATTAAATAATTAATAATAAAGAAAGAAAGATATGATTGTGAGATTACTATTGTTATTATTATGAAAGAAGATCAGAATTGGGTACGTAAGAAAGATTTGGGATGATGACATATATATATATATATATATATATAATTAAATGAAGGGGGGGGGAAAGAAAGAAAACAGAGAGACAGAAAGACAGGTGAGGAAAGGGCGTTTGTTTGGATAGTTTGGAACATAGATATAGACGAGCCTTAAGAGTGGGACTGACTTTTTACCGTTGGCGGTTAAAAGGTAAATTATGGAATGAGACAGATTTTCAGCTTGAAAAGACCACTTCAAGAGATTACTGATTCTTTGTTTCCCTTATTTTCTATTGATAATTTTGAATTTTCTCAAGAAAAAAGAGTACGAGTATTTAATAGGCGTTTGGACATAAAAATTACTATGATTTAAAAAAAAAAAAGATAGAAGTATTTGGAGTTAAATTGAAAAAGGATAAATTTTGAAATTATGTTTGGATATGCATTTCACTTAAAAAAATATTGTAATTTTATGAGGGAAAATAATTTTTTACTTGAAAAAGTAATTTTTTACCACTTTTCAAACTTGAAACTTATCTTCAATAAAAAAATTCAATCAATCCAATTTATAACCAAATAATATTTTGAAGATGAGTTTCGAAAAGAAAAATTTTCTTATGGACAAACGTGTCCTTAGTTTCAAGAATGAGTTTATGTTCTGTACTTTTATCTTGAATGATACTTTTGCACAATTAGGTTAATTTACCTACAATAATAGGTATTCTTATTTATGATAAATAAGATATAATAACTTGAAAAAATAGAGTGAATAACCAATATGGTATAATCCGATAGTGTAAAAGTTCTTACACTCTCAATATATATAACTTAACCCCTTTAGAATACCTTATTACTTGTAAAAAATCACAATTTAACCTCCATGTATGTGTCAGAAAAATAGTTAGATATTTGTACTCTATGCTAACTAATACTATGTAACAGCTTAATATTTGCATGCTGACATATTAAAAGAATTTTCTATCTAGATAACTATGTGTAATTGTCCATTAAAAATGGAATAGCAATCAAAAAAATAAGACAAGTACCTGTTACAACTTTTTATAATATGCTGATGAGTAAAGAAAATTTCACTGCAATTATTAAATCCATTATATTGTTTAAATATATTATTTACATTCACAAGGACTTGCCTATGTTTTGCTTATACCAACTTTAATGGATTCCTTCAAAACATTAATGTTCATCATTAAGAAAGGAAATATCATTTCTATAAATTGCAATCACTGTTCCTAATTAATGACTTTTAATCTACCTTTGTATGATTCAAGTTGAAGCATATACTTGCAGGGTGACTGCAGGGAGGATAATTTTAAAGCGGACTCTCAATTCATTAGATAGAGAAAATCACTAAGATTTCGCGATTTGCTCCTGAATTTATTTTAATTCCAAAAGCTCGGATCGAATTAGTATATCACCAAAGATGCAGTTAATTAACTATCCAATGATGTGACCCTAGCAAGCCTCATGTTACACTAGCATAGCCATAGGAATCTATGAACAACAAAAACCCTAATAACATAGTAATAGCAAAAGTTGAGAATTCAATTAAACAGTGATTTCTCTGAAATATGCTTTACGTTTTGTCATAAAGTTTGTCCGTTCTGTCGTCTTTAATTAGTGTGTGCTACACATTAAAAAAATTCTTCTAATATTATGAGTTTACAATGTTCACAAGACAGAACTAGAGAGTATGTACTTTTCAGCATTTAATTTATTACTTATTTCTAAACAATAAGATAATGAATATAATTTTGAGAAGGAGGTGGGGTCAGAAATCTGTAATTAAAATGTGAAAAGGAGAGATCAAGGATGAAAATATTCAGAGAGGGGACTACTGCTAATATACTAATCAGATTGATTCTGAACAGTACTTTTAGCACTGCAAATCGAAAGTAAAATCAAATACTCCTATTCTTAAAAATATAGAGTTTCAAAAAATGGAGAAATAAATTTATTGGGGGTGTAGAGATGTTGTTTTATTATGCAGACTGTAAATAGCCAAATGTTATGTTTGATTGCAGCAAGTCCAGCGTATCAGACTCTCATTGCCTCCCTTCTATTTTTATTTTATTTTATTCGATTTAAGTACATACTGATCGTATACAAAAATTTAATACTAGTGCACTGTAAATAGAGTTTTCCCTTAATTTCCATAATGTCATACATCAGCAATATGAAGAATAAACTTACAATATTACAAAGAAAAGTAGGATAGGTAGAACTATTATATAAAAAGGTAGATAAAGGATAAAATAGGATTATTTAATACTCCAATAAGAAAAGGCAAGATGAGAGAAAAAAATAAATTAACGAAGCCACTGCACTAGATCGGCGGCGCTTTTCTTTGCTACATAACGACGAATTTAACAGCACGATACAATAAAATTTAAGCAATAAAAAAATTACATTTAAAATAACGATACGATACAGTATAATATACAATCCAAACAAGTTGTATTAATTGAGTAAACATTTTTTATACGATGAGTGCATATAACTTATATTTTATATACTATCAAGCATACGTAGAGTAAAGATTACACCATAAAATCTCAGACAGAGTATAACACTGCACAAATATTCGGACCTATCAGTTTTGGCATTTTACTTGACACAGGTTTTTCTGGGATTTTCTGGATTTTTGGGTCCCCAGCTCAAGTTTTCTCAATTTCTTGATGTTAACTACTCATTCGACATTTCCCACTTTGCCTCCTCTACCATAGCTTAGCACAGAAGATCACTTTTCCTTGTTATTTCCTTTTGCTATTACTGTCCTCGAACCCTACTTTTTTTTTCTTTCTTATTGGTGCAAATTTCGCTCGCTCTACTTTTTCTCGAATATCTGTTAAAATGTTGTGATCTCATTGGTGAGGAGTCAAAACAGTTTTTCCTTTTGAGTATAATTTTTTTTAATACATTGTGTAAAAAGGTTAAAATTTATAAAGAAGTCTAATTATCTAAATCTTATTTTAGAAAGGTTAAGAAATCAATCCCCAAATTGAGAATATCTTTTGAAGGTTTGTTTTCGTAATCAAAATTTCTTCAATCTTTTTGAAACGGAAGGAGAAGTACAATTGGTCAACTTTAAATCGTATAGTGTCATGTTTCATACCGTCCTTATATCTAAAGTAGTCTTGGATTGGTATTGAGAATAACGTTCTTCAACCTTATGGTTGAAAATGCAAGAACTAGGGGAAAATATATTTCAAAAGACTAATCGATCGGAGTTTTTTTTTTTTTTTTTTTTTTTTTTTTTTTTGGATAGTGATTTATTGATCGGAGGACAAAATAACCTTTATATTCCATATTGATTAAATGGCTAATAGGAAGAAAATAGAGAGAGAAATTAAATTTATGTCAATTTTCAAAATAATTAAATTAAGCACCTCTATCAGTTCCCTCCACATAGTCAAAACCAAATATGATCCTATTTTTAAACAGGAAGATACCAATACCCTCACTAGGGGGACAATAATCAGAAGGCAAGAAAGTGTTCAACAGGTAAATGGATGTCTCCCTTCCATTCAAATATCTTACCATACATGTGGAGATAGAGAAACTGTTCCCGGAAAAAATGGAAAAAGGAATGAGAAGAAGTGAAGAGACATGGATCAGAATAGAAAAAGTGAAGAGCCAGAGCTTTGATGTCCTAAGAAGTGGCTCTTGTCATGTCAAATAGTCCAATGTGTACATTTAGTAGTTAGAAAGTACTTAGAATTTCATGGCCATAAAAGGCTAAACCATCTCTGTTTCAAAAACATTTTGACAATATTTCTTGCTAACTTTCACTGGGTTCCACACATGATGCTCATAACAGCAATCCACACATGATGCTTCACTATGCAAACAAAGAAGCTCTATTCCAACAACGAATGGATTGTATTTCTTTTATTCACACACTTTCACTGTTCAAACAAGTTTAAATTTTCTTTCACGAATGTATGTAGTTTTTGAGATCATTCTGTTAAATCGCAATCCTTCATTTGAGTTCATCTACTCAAATCCTCGTTTCAAACTTACTCGTTTTCACTACCATTCCAACTTAATTAATTTCACCCCTACAAATGTCCCTATATATGTAACTGCTACCGATATTCTTACTATCACTTATAAGTTAGTAGTATAATATAATAGAAGTATCTATATGAGATTGAACATAAACGATATATGAATGCAACTTTCAATTTTTGGGATTCTATCTTTTCCTAGGTAGAACAGATACAAAGTATGGGTTCTTAGTGGATTGTTAATTTTCTTGCCTAAATATAAATACAAGGCTGTCTTTCAATTTTTTAAGATTGCAATAGGTACGTGTTGTAAGCCGGTTTTATCGAAGAATTTTACCTTGTAGCTTTTTGAATCTATCTCCCAAACCCATGTTCATGTTTAGTACCAGAAGTAACTTAATAACTTATTTGGTACTTAGTGACTAAATAACCCATGTTCATCTTTTACTGCTATCGGGGGCGAAGCTAGAGGTTAATGTACCGAATAGGTCGAGCTCATTAATCTTGTTCCAAACTCTATATATATTTTAAGAAATTTATTTTATATGTACAAATTTATTAATTTAAAATCTAGTAACTTAAGTGGACTCGAATGCAAAATGCATAAGCTTCAAATTCTGGCTTCGTCTTTGAAACTGCTACGCAACTGGGGTTTTCACTGAAACTGTAAAGAGGATTTATTTTGGTTCCCATAAAGTTATCTTGAGAAGACTGAAGCTCGATATCAATGTACATTTTTAGGAGTTGATATTTCTTGAGAAACCTTTTCAAGATCTTACGCTTCTAACTTACTAGCAATGCAACTATAGTCTATAGCACCAACACCAATCAAG